TTTTACTTCAGCACCATTCTTTAAATTGTGCCCTTTTCTGTACCCTTTCATTTAGCCTTTTCAGGTATTTTTTTTTTCTACAATGGAAAGGACATGTTTCTGCCAGGATTGTCAAAGTAAATAAATAAAGCAAAACTAAAAAAAAAAAAAAAAGCTTCATGATCCAACAACAAAGCACAACAGATGATGGGACAGATTAAAAGCATATGGCTTAGAACTACTCAAGAACAAACAAACTAGAAATAAAAAGACAACAGATTTGATTGCTACTTAAAAAGAGGAAAGTATTGGACTGTGCTTGAGATGAAGGGCACCCCCTCGATTTGTTAATGATCACCTATAACAATCTATGATAAAACTGTCAAAATGTTCTCAGTGCCAGATCAAGAAGATAAAACTGTGATTAAGGGATTGAAACTGTAGAAGAACTCCATATGCAGAAGAAGAATCACGTAATTTAAAATGGAGAACCATTGGCTGCAGGCTGACTGAAACTATAGCAGGGGTGTCAAACTGGATTTCTTCGAGGGCCGGATCAGCATTGTAGTTCTCCTCCACAGGCTGGTTGGGGGTGGGGGGGGGGTGAGGAGACAGGATGGACGCCTCCTGCAGCACTCTGCCAGCCAAAACGGGGCACAGCGCGGTCACATTTTAGCTGGCAAAATGCTGCAGGAGGCCATCCAGATGCGCCCCCCCACGCCCCATTTTGCCTGCCAGAGGCATCGCAGGCTGATACTTTGCTATTTCTTGGCTGACCCCGCGGGCCAGATTTAAGCACCCTGCAGGCCGGATCTGGCCTGGGGGCCTTGAATTTGCCATCCCTGAACTATAGACTTGGTACCAGCAACTGGTTGGTAGCACTATGGAGCTAGGCGCTGTGTTGTCTATTGCCTTTAACCAAGTCAGTTAAAGACAGAGGTGCTGTTTTTGCACAATGTGCTAGGCTTGATTAGTTTTAACCTTGGGTAGTTTTCTTTGTAGCCTGGCAGGGTATATGAAGTCAGCCTGGGTAGTTTATGATTCAGCATGTTGTGTTATCCTATAAAAGAACGATCAACCTATGTTGATTGATGCTGAAGACATCAATATGGAATGCGATCACATGCTTGTAGGATGCTGATTAAATAGTGATGTCAGCACTTCAAGCTGCATTTACTCTAGTGCTGACATAAGAAGGAGAAGCAGAGGCATCTGGAAAGGGATGTTTGACTTTTCACCTACTTATTTTCCCTGGAGATAATATCCTCTAGGAGATGAGAGGGGAGGGGGGAAATTCCTTTGAGCTGGAGCAGTAGATTAGGGTAGAGTGACTTGGAAGATGGCCAATGAGTGCAGAGGAGTGGGGAAAGGAAAGGGAGGGTTTTGGGTCAGGAAGTCAGTGTTGGCTATGATGGAGTTATTTGTGACGACCTCGAAACCTGACAAGTACTTTGATACATTTTCTCAAATGTTATTTATCGCTATCCTCTTCCCCTTTGGAATGGTTGCATAGTTTTGATTCTTGCAGGAGAATGTCCCTAGAATACTTCTGCTCACACTTGTATTGGTGTCATGGTTCCACTACTACTTACATGATTAACTAAAAACAAATCTGAGCCAGCAAAAAGACAAACCTATTGTTTTCTTAGCCGCTCCAAAAAACATTTGCTCTTTTGATAATATCTTAGAAGTGCAACAATGATCATTTCTACTGATTTTTAAGGCTTAACAATAAATCGCATCTCAGCTACAGTATTTGTTTTAAATGTTTAGGAAAGGAGCCAGGGACATTCTCAGCATACTGATGTAAAGGAGAAAGCGAGGAAATATCTAACAAGATCATAAATGATTATTGGCTGATGGCCTTGAAGTTCAACAGTAATATTACCTACCTATTTGTGCAATTTAAAAGCTTTTCTGAGATTCTCTGTGCCAGTTAGGAGCACTTAGATGGACTTTGCTATGTTTTTTTCTCCCTGATTTATGAGGCTGTGGATAATTTTCATTCTTAACCTTGAGGTCATATTCTGCCATCACTTTCACACTGCATATTTCAGAATTTACAATGAGGTGAATAACAAGTCTCTGCCATGAAATTTGCATGCAATTAACATTCTGTTCTTCTCAGAGAGTAAATTTGCTATTAGAATGGTGATATACAGAAGGCATGTAGTAAAATCACTCTATGTTCTAAGCTTGTTTACACATTATAGAGTTGTAGGGGCACGTTATACCACTACTCAGAGTAAATACTGTCAGAATGTAGAAATGGCATTGCAACCAACACCCACCTCAACGATTCAAGATTAGATAAGCAGTATTTTAAAGAAAAGGCCAGATAAATTTTATGGATGAGGAAGTTGGGCTTTGAAGCAAAAATTGCATGTCTAATTACAGAAACATTTCTGTTTTAAAGCAAAGGAAGCCTCTAAATCACTGCCAACTTTTATGAAAATTTTAAATTTTCTTGAAGTTCTGTTTTCTCTTTACTTCTAGCATTGTGAAGAGTCTTTTATTCTCTTCCCATTGCTTTTATTTCGCTAATCCTAAAAGACAGCCCAGAATGATCTGAAATAATCTGGGTAGCTTTCAGAAGAGCTTTGCCCACCCTGGCATTCTGGATCTATCAATAACAGTTCCAGAATTGTAGTCCCAGAACTCTATAGAGCTCTGAATGTGGAAAACTGCTTTCAAAAAAGGAGGTAAAGGAAAGGATGAATCTAAAGTTATCTGGAAGTTAAGTCATGGCAATTGGACTTTTCCTTTTGGTTTGAAATTTAAGCAGCAAAAGTTTCCAACTGAAAAGAAAAGAAGTCCAATTGCCATGACTTAACTTCCAGACAACTCTACCTGGATGACTGAGAATCTTCATCAACGTAATCTAAAGTTAGTTTTACACCAGCATCATTCATTATACATCACTCACATTCATACCCCTTTATCTTTGCAAACCATCCTCACTTCTACCACTACATTTCATCCATAGCATTTTTTTAAAAAAATTCTCATCTCATACGTTTTGAGGCTCTCACTGGTTTTTTCCAACCACAGCCTCCTTGGTCTCCCCCTTCCTCTTAATCCACTCACTCTCCCTTCATAGATTAGTTTAACAATTTGATCCTTATTTATTCTTTCTGTATGACTGACCCATCAGCATTATTTTTTTGCAAGGATTTCTATACTAGAAACTAAAGTAGTGCTAGAAGTTCTCTTGGAAGCCGATACACTGTTGCCTGCACACCATCATTGGAAGAAACAAGCTGAACTGACTGGCACTCAAGATACAAGAGACTAATATTAAATAAACTCATCTGTACGTGAATATGTATGGTATCTAACCTACAGTGATTCTAATTATAATGAACCAAGAACTTGTTAAACTGATATTATCCCAAAACAAAGCAAAATAGCAACAAATTAAGAATTAAGGAAATAAAAAAATTGTTATTTCTCATTGAAACTATCATTATTCTCTTTTCAACTCTGTGGGTCTCAAACAGCGACAGTATTATCTGGTGCAAATAAGCTGTAGCAGAAGTAGAGATGTGAGCGCAGGCAGGTCCAGAACTGGTTCTGAAACTGTAAAAATCTTTGGGTGGAGGTGCCCAATGAAGCCTAAAAGAGAAATCATGGCTTGCACCCACACTCCAAAAGAGAAAGGGGAAAAAATGTGGTTTTGAATGTGAGGTGTCACTTAGTAATGGAATTGCTGGTCTCAATTGTGGCCAGTAAGCGAGGACTACCTATATGTAGTTTGGACATCATACTAAACCATTATTTATTGATTAAGACTCACTAGTTCACACATTGCATTAACCCATAAACCAGAAAGAGGAGGTTTATTTCATGTACTGAACTGAGTCCAAAATAATCCAAAATAAATTAGTTGCTCATTATGATTTAGAATGACATGTTCCTCTGATAATTCTATCAAGTTGACTACAAACATTTCATCTATTGCTATCTGCTAATATAAAGATTTTGCCTATTTATTCATTTACATGTATATCACTACACCATTACCACCCAGAAGATCTTGATGTAAGTCACAATTTCTTAAAACAAGATTAAATAATACAAACATGTAAAATAAAGGTGTTAATTAAAGAGTCCATTGGGTAGAGGAGAAGGAGGAGAAGGAAGAAGGAAGAAGAGGAGGAGGAGGAGGAGGGGAGGGGCGGAGGGGGAGGAGGAGAAGGAGGAGCAAAAGAAGAAGGAGGAGAAAGAGAAAGAGAAGGAGAAGGAGAAGGAGAAGGAGAAGAAGGAGAAGGAGAAGGAGAAGGAGAAGGAGAAGGAGAAGGAGAAGGAGAAGGAGACATGCACAGTGAGAACCCCATACACAATAGTAATTGCAGTACTATAATGAGGCATGGATAAGAAGTCCTGGCAGTGAGGACTTCTGGTGTCAGACACAAGAAACAGAAGCAGCAACCTCATCTCCAAAAGGCTGTCATAAAAGAAAAAGCCTTTTCCCCAACCTCGTTTGCTAATCCACAAGTAGATAACCTTTCTTCAGTTAAATGTTATGCCTCTTTCTTCCTGCATCTGCTTTAGATTTATAATGCATATGTAAAGAAGTTGCTTAATGAATGCTCATTAAGCAACTTCTTTACATGCATTATAACTCTAAAGCAGAAGGACAATGTGGACATGCAGTCCTTCTAATTTTCCTTATATATTCAGGGTGGAATCTATTGAAAGTGATAGAGGAACTGCTTGCCTCCCTTATCCCATTGAGTTTGCCTATAAACTGCCCATCATTTACAACCCTAGACTTTACACCTTACAATTTTACAGCAATTACGTGTCATCAATCTTGTTTATCTGTAAGCCTGTGCTGTAATGAGCTTTGTTACACTTACTGTAATGTGTAGTCTCTCATTGATAATAGCTTTGGATTTTGTCTGAACCCAGACCACAGTATCCTTGTGTTTGTGTATCAATACTGCTCTTAGAGTCTAATTGTATTACAATGTGGTGTTAAAGAATAATGCAAATATAAGTTTTAGTGGAAGCGTTACCTGGACCAGTACAAAGAACCTTTTCTTCCATCTCTTCCAGACATTTTTGCCGATGGCCCACAAATATCTATAAAAGCAGCAAGAAAAAACTTCATTAGGGGATTTTAAAAATAAATAAATAAATAAGAATTTCATTGTTTGCATTGGGCAGTTTTTACTGGAAACTGCAACTAAACACCGTCTTTAGCAAAAAAAAAAAAATGTTGCAAATTGTGTTGTGGCTATGGAATCCTACAAACAGCCATTAATTGTCAACCAGTTGCCAAGCTCCAAAATCTGATCACATGACCACAGGGAGGTGGGAGTGGTGATCTTTTAAGTTGATGACTGGTTCAACTGCTTCTGTGTTTTCTTCTATGGAAAAGAGAAGTGAGCTAATCTTTTAGCATTCTTCTATAGGAGGAGTGGCAGAAGCTGGGGGCAGAGTCAAAAGAGTGACTCTACATAGTGACTCTAGACTGATTCCTCTTTTGACTCCACCTCTAGCTTCTGCTAATCCTTCTTCTACATCTCGCTAGTCTCTATCTCCAATAATCAGTTGTTCTACGTTAAGAAAGGGGCATCAATATTCCTTCTTTTTCTTTGCACAAAAAAAAATAGTCTGGAATCTGTCTGGAATCTATCATGATATTCCTTCTGACAGGTACTATTTCACTTTCAAATTTCATTAGATTACTTTCTGTCTCAGACTAGAAAAATTACCGGCACTTTTTAAAAATAAAATTGTAAAGGACCATAGTTGGAAAATGCCAGCAGTGATCACACTCTGATTACAATTTTGTTCAGCACCATCAGGTGTGACAACACAGCTGGTGTTAGCTAAGAAAGTGATTAAATTAAATTAAATTAGAATGTGCTGATGGTCATTTTAAAACAGATAAGACAAATTTGTGGAACATAAACATATGAATGGCTATTGATCATGAAAAGCCATATGGAGTCTCCATGATGTTTGATTCCTAAAAGCTACATGGAAAGAATAAAGCATGGTTATTGTATTATATCCTTCCAGTAAGCTTCCAATTTATTTATTTTTATTATTTATAATTTTTTTAATATTGCCCATCACACTTACATCCGTCTGGGTAGTTTACAAATAAAATGGAAAATCATATAAAAGCGATATGATTTGGTGGCACAGTGATTAGAATGCAGTATTGCAGGCTAACTCTGCTCACAGCCTGGAGTTTGATCCTGATGGGGCTCAAGGTTGACTTGGCCTTCCATCCTTTCAAGGTCAGTAAAATGAGGAGCCAGATTTTGGGAGCAATATGGTGACATTGTAAACTGCTACTAGAATGCTGTAAGTGCTATTGCTATAGTTAAAAACAAAGTAAAAAAAAACCCAGATTAAAACAAAGCTAAAAAGAACAATTACAAAATTAAAAGGAAGAATCTTCAGCCCACCAACTACCCCTAGAGCAGTGGTGGGTTTCAAATTTTTTTACTACCTGTTCTGTGGGTGTGGTTTGGTGGGCATGGCATGGCTTAGTGGGCGTGACTTGGTGGGTGTGGCACTGTAAAATCTCCATTCCCATCCCACTCCAGTGGAAGGTTACTGCAAAATCTCCATTCCCACCCCACTCCAGGGGAAGGTTACTGCAAAATCTCCATTCCCACCCCACTCCAGGGGAAAGATACTGCAAAATCCCCATTTCTTCCCGATCAGCTGGGACTTGGGAGGCAGAGAATAGATGGGAGAGGAGCCAGTCAGAATTTTTACTACCGGTTCTCCGAACTATTCAAAATTTCCGCTACCAGTTCTCCAGAACTGGTCAGAACCTGATGAAACCCACCTCTGCCCTAGAGTTGCATGGCATTGTTCAATTGCAGGGCCAATTGGCAGAGTCTGATCTTAATGCTCTTCCAGGAGGGCAGGAAAGTAGGGGCCTGCAAGATGCTCCCTAGGGTGGGGGATGCAGCAGAGAAGGCTCTGTTCCTAGTCTCCACCAGTAAAATTCTTTGACAACAGGGTTTGTAATATGCCTTCCCTCTCTGCCTGGGTGTGATGGGTTCAAGAAATCAGGAATTCAAATAATCTGGTCTCATGCTTTAAAGGCAATGACCAACATTTTAAATTGGACCCGGGAGCTAATTGGCACCCAATGCAATATATGTAGCAGAGGTTAGATTGTAACTTCTTGGCTATCATTAGTGACAAAATGCTGAACAGATGGTCCAAAAATATAGCATCTATGTTTTTATTGCAAGTTGGGATAAAAGAGACATACTAATAGGGCTGGATTAGATTAGAATCCCATCAAGATGTATATTGTATCTGGTGAGAGATTAGAATATTATTTTCATACTGCTCTCCATTCCCCCATACATGTCTTACATCTTCAGCATTGCTCTTTAAAATGTAGAGATACAATTTCAATGGAAAAGATGCACAAAATGTAGCCTAATGCATGTAAGGGTAGATTATGCAGTCAATGATGGGGTGAAATCTTTATGAAAAGTGAGGACTGTCCACACTGAATTTTACATACCTTGTTTCCCCCAAAATAAGACATCCCCTGATAATAAGGCCAATCGGGCTTTTGAGCGCATGGCAATAAGGCCAAACGCTTATTTCAGGGTTCAAAAAAATATAAGACAGGGTCTTATTTTCAGGGAAACACGGTACATACTTTCTTAAAAAAAAAGTCCACTTGTCCAAATCTAATACTGTAGCAGTCTACATAGACCAGGTGTGCTGTGTATTTGGATTCCATGATAAAATTAAATTTGTTTTAATTTAATAAACCAATACTTCACTCACAATTTACAATTTGTTAATAATAAATAAATAAATAATTCTCCTTTCTGTTGGATTAAGAATGACAAATCGATGCAACATGGAGGAGAGTACAAGGGTGTTGTAAATCTGCCTGTCTGTTCTATGTGAAGAGGCTGAGTGTGAATAAAAGTCTTCTCTAACATGGGTCCAGGAATAATTCAGAAAGATTATTTTAGAAGATAAGAAGCCATAAAGAGTGAAACACTTTTTCAATTTGTTAGATCATGTGAAAAGTAGCAATGCTTTACACATTCCACTAAACACATTTTAATGGAATTCCTCATAGGAAAATGTAGAGAGAGACTCCATAAAGCCAGTCCATAAGCTGAGCACATTGTAGTTAAATTATCTCTCCAATAAATAATCTAAAACAATAACTACAGGAAAGAATAATAATAATAATAATAATAATAATAATAATAATAATAATAATAATAATAATAATAATAATAATAATAATAATAATAATAATAATAATACATCCTCTGATGATACCTTAACAGTTCCTAGGTCCTTGGTTAGGACTCGAGCTGCTGAGCTATTAACCAGCCTCAAAGGCTGTGAATCTCACTACAGATTATATAATAATAATAATAATAATAATAATAATAATAATAATAATAATAATAATAATAATAATAATAATAATAATAATATCATCTCATATGCCCTCATTTAAATATTGAGCATTTCTATTTGTAAAGATCTTTCTTTTGTAGAATCAATGTAATTTTCCTGTAAGTAGATTTTTTGTAATATCATATCGTATCGTATCGTATCGTATCATATCGTATCATTTATATTTATAGGCTGCTCCATTTCACCATGATGCTGGGTGGGTGAACAGTATGCATTTAAAACAATCCAATACAAACAATAGCAAATATCTGAAAAAGTAGCAGAAGTTGCAACCAAGGAATTGCCTCCACAAGAGGTTCATCACCTAGTTTAACCCAAAACCTGCGTTTTAAGGGCTTATCTGAATAATGTCTGGGTGGAGGCCATACAAATATTTGGGGATGTTCATTCTAGAAGGCAGGAGCTGTGACAGAAAGGGTCTGCTTCTTGGGTTCTATCACATGATACTTAATTGACAGGACCAGGAGCATGCCCACCTGACTGGATCGTGTACTATGGGCAGAAACTATGAAAGATAGGATGCCCCTTGAATAACCAGGCTGTATGCCATGAAGGGCTTTATTAGGTAATAACCAGCACCTTGAACTGCAGCCAAAATTCATGTAGCAGAATTGTTATTTAGGTACACCATGCGTGGGGGAGAATCAAACTGAGTTTCTGCCTGCATTTGAGAAAAACAGCTGCAGCCAAGCAACAGTGCTTCCCACACCCACCTCTCCAAGAATAGGTTCAACATACCGTTTCTCAGGGCAGTAAATGTTTACAGCTCCAGAAATCTGAGACGAGATGGGCTCATTCATTCATTCATTCATTCATTCATTCATTCATTCAATCATTTCTCTCCCCCCCACCCAGTTGACTCATAAGCATCCATGCCTATGTTCCAGGTGTCTAGCTCATTGAGCCATAACCTGGCATTTTTAGGAACGTGCTGACATCCATATGCAACTTCATCCCACCCAAACCTTTAGTCTGCAAAAGTATGACTTTGTAAGAGAAAAAGAAGACAACAAGTATATTAGGAAGGAAGAAGTGTTGTTTGAAATGTATGATTCATACAGGCAAGCAAATTGTGGCCAAATGCCAGGATGACAAGCTACAGTAAACAGCCCATTGTGGTGTGACTGTGCCTGAAGCTTGGCACAGAGATTGGCAGGGAGCTTGGTAAGAACCAAGAAGAAGAGAATTCACACAGGACTTCTGGCTGACATCGCAGCGAGATCGGACATGGAGAGTCGGTCTCCTCGCTCCTGTGCCAAATTCTCCCCGTTGGTGGGCTCTGAAAGGAGCCAAAGCCGCCTTGGAGGGGTGGTGAAGCAAAGAGGGATACCCTGCAAGGTCTGGGATAGTTGTAGCTGTCCTACTTGACCTGAGGCTTTCTTTCCCTCTCAGCCACAATGAGGAGAAGACATAGCTTAAGATGGCTGCCACGAAGTTGAGACAGCCGATGACCACCGAAGCTTTGAGCTGGAGTGGATTTTGGTGAACAGTATGGAACTGGGTGAGAGGATTATTTTTTACCCAAAACTTAACCCCAAAAGAGAAATCTGGATTTACTCAGAACTATTGAAAGTGGCAATCAGACACTTTGAGAAAATTACCAGACTGGAAGGAAAGGATTAAAGTGGGGGGGGGGAGAGGGGAAAAAAACCTTTTTTTGGGTCTTTAAAAATGCAGGAAATTGGACTTTCAAATTGGGAAGACATGGCATTGGGAAGGCAATTTAAAATATTGGAATTAAGGATTTAAAATTTAACATTGGTTCTATAATTGAATTACAATTTAAAATAATTAAAACCAGATTTTTAGTAACAGTGAAAATTAACCTAAGTGTGCCACCTGCTGATGAAAGGAAAATATACAAGCCTGGGAATACCCATTTAAAGGACTGTGAAAATATTTACTGGACTATATACATCTACGCTATGACCACTGGAGATTTAAATGTGAGAACAAGGAAGACATTTAATAAAAGTGACCCCTGAGTGTTAAACTATTTGACTGAATCTAGAAAGGTGACTCAAAGAGGCTTGGATAACTCCCTGGGCTATATAAATGGACCTGACTGACTATTTATTCATAAAGATAGGATGAAAGCAAGAATATGAATAGAGTTATTTTGTATGTTTAAATAATATTGTGATTGGCATTAGAATAATATATTGAAATATTGAATAATGAAATAATGAATGTTAAATATTGACTAATAAAATGATGAAAGAACATATTTTAATACTTGTATAAACAGGTATATTAATAGTGGAATCATATGGATTGGATGGAATCTAAAGAATATGAACAGAATTAATTTGTATGTTTAACTAATATTGTGATTGGTATTAGAATTGCATATTTAAATATTGGACAATGAAATAATGATAGTACTGTAATACAAAGGGAACATCTTTTAATATAATGGTCACATGAATAAAAGTTAGAATAAAGATAGAAATAAGAGAAAGGGGGAATACTAGTATATACATTATTATAAGATAAGATAATTGTAATAATAAGAGAGAGGTTTAGAAATTGAACTGCGGTAGTATTACGTATGTTTAAACAATATGAAATAATGAAAGATTATAATTTGATATAAATGTGCATTACTATTAGAAAAATATAAACTGGATGAATGTGATAACTATGATTAATAATATTATTTTATTTGTACTGAAATGTATGGCACCCATTGATATGTATATGTAATATAAAATAAAAAACTTGTTACATATATATATATAAAAAGAAGAGCAATCACACTGAGTCAGCACTTAATTCCAACAAGAGGAGGGAGGTCAAATCCACTTTACAAACTTTAAGACTTTTATTTATTATAAGGGCTAACAATCAAAGACTTGTTTATATGACTACATCAATTCTCAAAAGCTAGGAGTGTGGAGTCAACTCAGGGCAATAGGAAAGTGTGTTACAATAAAGTGCCTTGTACAATGTGGTTTATCCAGTCTTAGAAAACAAAGAACCCTCACATAGTCCCTCCTTCAGAACCAGCTTCAACCTCTCAATATTCTTCAAGGACTCCCCCATATACTGAGCAATGCACCATGCAATCATGAGCTGAACAAAATATGAATGATTGTGTAAAGTGCCTCCTAATTGTGGTATGGGCATAACTGGTACAATAGGTGAACTTATTTGAAGGTCTTCCTGGCTGTCATGGCCTCCTGCTCAAAAAAGTCCCCTAAATTTTGGGGCAGTTCAGGACTAAAGAGAGGCAGCATTGGAGAAGTTCAGGACTAAAGAGAGGCAGCACTTGGGTTTGAGCTTCAGCCTGTTCCTTTCCTCCAGGCCTGAATGGCCTCCATCATTATTTCAAAGACCTTGACAACACATTCAGAATATTATATGCCTAATTATGATGGCATACTCAGGATATTCAAAGAAACAGGTTATCATTATTATGAATATTCTGATTATACAATAAGGAATTTACTATTCTAAAAATTCAATGCAAGAAATAAAATACATGGAAATTACACCGATTTATATTTTATTGTTCCTTTTTTAGAATAATAATATTCTTAGTTCACATGCAGGACAGAGACTAGAGATTACTTTCAGAAGACATTTGTTTTAAAAGATCAAGAGAGGTCAAAGCTACCAGTGAATAAAATGTCAATCATTCTCAAAAAGATGAAAATTAAATCCCATTGATTCCATTTCTAATACAAACTCTGGGAGAAGGAGGAGATATTTTTCAATTATTATAATATTGGAAAATATGGTAACTTGCAATCACTGTCGTTTGCAAAAAAAAAAGAAAAAAAGTCACTTACCCAGAATGTTTCATATTCTGAGGTTTATCCATTCGGACAGCAAGCTTGATTTTCAGGTCTTGATCAGGACAGTTTTTGGAAACAGCCATTTTGTGCCATTCAGATTGTTTGGGGCTATTTGGTGTCGGATGAAGAACAACCTGAAGACAAAGTTTTAACATGCAGAGATTTAGATGCTATGAATATATATTGAATCTCTCAGAATTATTTTGCTCCCAGATAAGAGTTCCTGCGATACCATCATAATAAAAATGATGTTAACTTTCATTGTTGTCATATCAGCCCAATGAAAAGTAAAGTAAATGAATTTTCTATTCCACTAAACAATATTATGCAGATTTGTCACTTTTTCTTCTTTAACGTTTAAAGAACATTGTAAAAATTAGAGGTCTTTTTAGGATCTACCATGTAATTCTGTGACTGGGCAGGGTGATTGCACCAAAAAAGTCTTGTGCCTTTTCTCAGCATTACCAACTGTGATGCGACTTAAAAGAGGTCATGTTGTTCCAACATAAGCAGAGATGGGATTCAGCTGGTTCTGTCCGGTTCGGGAAAACCGGTAGTGGCGACTGCAGGAGGCTCCACCCATCCACCCGGATGTAATGCACAAGCAAAGAGCATGCACGGTAGGCCTTGCGCATGCGCGCGCTCACATTTGCGAACAGGTAGAGAAGGTAAGTGAATCCCACCTCTCAACGTAAGCCTAATTGTTTCTGGTTTGACTTTGCATGCATAAGGTGAGAATTAGACTTCTGTGTCACTGCACGTCAGGTAACGTATGCATTTGCCATTTGGAGACAGTTGCATAGCTGTTGCGTTTATGAGCCATGGCAGCGCAGTGGTTAGAATGCAGTATTGCAGGCTAATTCTGCTGGCTGCCAAATGCCTGCAGCTCTGCAATTCGATTGTCACCAGTTCAAGGTTGACTCTGCCTTCCATCCTTCGGTAAAATGAGGACCCAGATTATTGGGGGCAATATGCTGACTTGTAAACTGCTTAGAGAAGGCTGTAAAGCACCATGAAGCAGTATATAAATCTAAGTGCTGTTGCTATTGCTATTTATAATTCTGTGAATGTTAACATTCTGACTAGGGGTGGCATTAGAAAACTTCCCATCAGGAAGTTGGATCAAATGATCAGCATGCACCTCCTCACAACATATAGTTGAGATTTGGGAGGTGTGCGAGTTGACCCACCTGCAACCATTTGTAACCTACACTTACCCATCAATCTATGCACAGTGTAGGTATGTGCTGATGCCTATGCACATTTGTGACAAGTCTAAATCAAGCTTAAGCCTGATTTAGTCATGCTGAGTCACATCATGACTCAGCATGATATGGGGACTGGGTTAATAGCGACTTTACCTAAAAACTAAGAAGTAGCACAAAAGAGAAAAGAATTCCAATCTGTCATATCAAATTCCAATGTGTAGTTTGGAAGTGCAGCATTCAAGAATCCAAGTATGGATCTACTCTGAAGTAACTCTTTGGATTGTTCCCTGTTCTTGGGGTCTCACAGCCCTTCCCCTTTTTTACATGCATTGTGAGCCAACAAGAACCCAGCAATCTTAATCTGTCCTAATTTGTATATATAGTTTGTTCTTCAAATACTCTTTAATACTCATTACTTATTTTATTGGGAGGTATAAGGTGGAAGACATTCACAAAGATACAGTCTTGGAACTGAGAGTACTGCAATAAATTTTAATTGGTCACAAGTAATTTAAGCATGCCCAATAATAATAGTATTAAAAAGTCATTAAAAAAAGAGAAATACATTAAAATATGTCTACAGAACTATTTGTACTTTAATATATTAAACATGAAGAGAAGAAAAGCAATTGAGGTTAAATTCAAGTGGTGGAAGTTCATTTTATTGAATGAAATATAGTGAATGTAGCTAAATTATCCTCTGTGCTGGAAATGAAAATACAAAGTTTCAAGGGTTAACCCATACATAAAATGATAGAAAGTTCAGAAGGTCAATATAAGTACGTGCATTTTGACCCAACATATTGATAATATATTTAATCAGAGAAAAGAGCTAAGTGAAGCATGAGAGCGGTCTTCATTTTACAGACTCCTACTTCTCCTCCTTTTTGCGTTTCTCATCTGTTTCTTTTATTCCTTGCATTTTTAAAGTCTCCCCCCCCTCTCTCTGTCTCTCTCTGTCTCTCTCTGTCTCTCTCTCTCTGTGTATATGTCTCAAAACCTGAGCTCCACATGTCTGGGTGAGTTCCTGTCCTGGCCCCAAACTCCTGCCAACCTAGCAGTTTGAAAGCATGCAATTGCAAGTAGACACATAGGTACCACTTTGGTGGGAAGGTAAGAGCACTCTGTGAGATCATTATGACCACTTGACTGTACAAATGTCTTCAGACAGCACTGGCACAATGGCCTTGAAAAGGAGATGAGCACTGCCCCCTATAGCAGGGGTGTCAAACTCGCGGCGTCACATTGGCGTCACATGATGTATCGTGACTTTTTGCTAAAATGGCAGTGGGCGTGGCCACTATATATATTGCCCTATATATATTCATTCAAATTATCCTTCTAAATTTTCTATCAGGACAAACTCACTCTATCTTCCTTTTTTTTTCTAATTAGAGATTTCCTATCCTCCTCTCTGAAACTCCTCACTTCCTTGTTGCCTGATTTGTACTGTCTTTGGGTAGTTAACCAAATAGTTGCTGTCTAATTATAAAAACAATCCATTCTTGTAAAAATAAGTAATAGACTCCACACCACTTTATTCTGGATAATTCCCTCATCAAAGCTCCATAGTTTTGTTTTAGCATCTTAGGACTTTGGTTTATAAATCATGACACACTGTTTTCAGCAGTGTGTAGATATGTATTGTGTAGCAGTATTTGTAGATATGTAAATGAGGACTTAAGTTAGTAGCAGAAATTCAATTGCTCAGATTGTAATAGACCTTAAAAATAATTTTTTTGCCTCTACTCTACTCGGTTATAGAATAAAAAATGTACATCCACGCAGACAGTCTCATTTATCATCAGCATGTACAATAAAATTACTTCAAATTAGAGCTAGGACTTAATAACTTATACAAAAGACTGGCGGGGGGGAGGGAAGGGAGAGAAAGTAGGTGTTTTTAACTGAAGAACAGTGAGTTATCTGGCACACTCCAGTTAAGGTTATTAAAGTTAAATTTAAGCCTATAAGGCATATGCTTTTTGTTTCCCATACAGCAGTAAGTGAAGAGCAGAGGAGGGTGAGTAGAGGCAAAGCAGAGCCCGAAAGAATTTATTGGCAATTATATCTGTCACCAAGATAAATGCTGCTGAAGGCACTATGGGGGGAAAAAATGACATCTACATAGAGGGAAAAAAAAGAAGAGACACTCAGGAGCGTGGTATCACTGGGAACCTGTTATATAATAATAATAATTTTTAAAAAGTTGGCGTTATTATCTGCTTTAGCAGCTGGAGGAAGAAATGGACAGGCCACACTTAATTCAACCGCAGCTGTGCTGCTAACCTGAATATGCTAAATTATCTACTGATCGGCAGAGATGATAAATGAAATTCATTCCGTAGATCCATAGATTCAGAGTTACTCTGGCAACCTTGCCCTACCTGAGGTAGATTGTTAACAGCCTCAGAAGCAATCCCATCTCTGCTCTAAAATGAGATCAGCATTGATTTGCACTCATTTCTGGGAAATAAATTATTCGGATCCTCCCGTCTCCCCTTCTCCTCCTAATGCCTTGGCCTGGCCAATGAAAGAAGACACTAGTGCTTCTATTACTATTTATTTGATGTTTACCCCACCATTATTATTTATAAAGAACTCAATGTGACGAACATACTTCATACTGTTATATACCTCTTCCTATTTTCTCCACAACCAACAAACCAGTGAGGTGAGTTGGGCTAAGAGAGAATGACTGGCCCAGCTGATTTTTCATATCTAAAGCAGGACTAGAATTCACCATCTCCTGGTTCCTAAGCCAGCACCTTAACCACTAGACTAAATTAGTTACGGGGGCAGGGGAAGGTCTTTCTCAGGATACACAATCTAAAGTTCACCACTCAGCAATAATATTTTAACTTCCTTTAGTGAACTGAAGCAACATTAATTTCATATGTTAACTACATAGAATTGGTTTCACACCCTTCCCTTCCCCTCCCTTCCAATCCTGTGTTCTTTCCAATAGTTTAAGATGTTTATTTTAGGGATGGCTCGTTACTGAGATGAGAAAGTTCCCCTTTTCCCTACCTCCTTTAACAGTAATTTTCAACTCTGAATTTTTTGGGACTGTGTCTCATCAATTTGGGGGAAATATGAAATCTCTGTGTTCTCTTTATTTTTATTTATTTTATTTTATTTTATTTTGAATTTGTATACCGCCCTTCTCCCTGAAGACTCAGGGCGGTGAACAGCCAAGTAAAAACATCAAATACAAATATTAAAATACAGTTAAAATATACATATATAAATTTGGCCCCATTGATTAAAAACAATAAACAAAACACTTAAAAAACACTTAAAAAAATTAGGCCAGCCCGGCTTGCTGGAAAAGGAAGGTTTTAAGGGCACGGCGGAAGGCACCGAGGTCTTGGATTCTCCTTATCTCTGGAGGCAATTGATTCCAGAGGGTAGGTGCCCCCACAGAGAAGGCCCTCCCCCTGGGGGTCACCAGCCTGCACTGTTTGGCTGATGGCACCCTGAGGAGGCCCTCTCTGTGGGAGCGCACGGGTCGATGGGAGGTCGTCGGTGGCAGCAGGCGGTCTCGAAGATAGCTAGGCCCTATGCCATGGAGCGCTTTAAAGGTGAGAACCAACACTTTGAAGCACACCCGGAAGACCACTGGAAGCCAGTGTAGCTCGCGCAGGAGCGGTGTTACATGGGAGCGCCAGGCTGCTCCCGTCACTACCCGCGCTGCTGCATTCTGGACCAGTTGGAGCCTCCGGGTGCTCCTCAAGGGGAGCCCCATGTAGAGAGCGTTGCAGTAGTCAAGGCGAGAGGTGACGAGGGCATGAGTGACTGTGCACAGGGAATCCCGATCAAGAAAGGGCCGCAACTGGCGGATCAGGCGTACCTGACAAAAGGTCCCCCTGGTTACAGCCGTCAGATGTTCCTCCAAGGACAGCTGCATATCCAGGAGGACTCCCAGATTGCAAGCCCTTTCTATGTGGGCCAAAGACTCGCCCCCAATAGTCAGTGATGGAGTCAACTGACAATATCGGGATGCCGGGAGCCACAGCCACTCAGTCTTGGAAGGGTTGAGCCTGAGCCTGTTCCTCCCCATCCAGATCCGCACAGCCTCCAGGCACTGGGACATCACTTCAAGGGCATCGTTGGGGTGGCCTGGGGTGGAGATGTACAGATGGGTGTCATCAGCGTACTGGTGGTATCTCACCCCAAAGCCACGGATGATCTCGCCCAGCGGCTTCACATAAATGTTGAACAGGAGGGGCGAGAGGACCGACCCCTGAGGCACTCCACATATAAGAGGCCTTGAGGTCGACCTCTGCCCCCCTGCCAACACGAACTGCGACCGGTCGGAGAGAAAGGAGGAGAACCACCGTAATACGGTGCCCCCCATCCCCAACTCTTCCAACCAGTGCAGCATGATACCATGGTCGATGGTATCAAAAGCCGCTGAGAGGTCTAACAGGACCAGAACAGAGGAACAACCCCTGTCCCGAGCCCTCCAGAGATCATCAACCAACGCGACCAATGCCGTTTCCGTGCTGTGTCCAGGCCTGAAACCCGACTGGAACGGATCTAGATAGGATGTTTCCTCCAAGAATTGTGGAAACTGTCGTGCGACCACACTCTCAACAACCTTCGCCAGGAAGCGAAGGTTGGAGACAGGACGATAGTTGGCCAATATTGCCGGATCCAGGGACGGCTTCTTGAGGAGAGGCCTCACCACCGCTTCTTTCAAGGCGGCGGGGAAGTGACCCTCACTCAACGAAGCGTTGATAACACCCTGGAGCCAGCCTCGTGTAACCTCCCGGGAGGCCAGTACCAACCAGGAGGGACACGGGTCCAGTAAACATGTGGCCGCACTAAGTCTCCCCAAAATCCTGTCCACATCATCCGGAGTCACAGCATCAAACTCCTCCCAGGTAACATTCTCAAGACTATTCCTCGTCACCCTGCCCTGATCTACCCAGTCAGAGTCCAAATCCCCCGGATCTGAGCGATTTTGTCATACAGGTATTGTCCGAAATCCTCCGCCCTGCCTTCCAAGGGATCCTCCCGCGCTCCCGGATGGAGCAGGGAGCGGGTTACCCTGAACAGGGCGGCCGGACGATTCCCTGATGACGCAATAGAGGCAGAAAAGTAGTTAAACTTTGCCGTCTTTATCGCCACTAGGTAGGACTTAATATGCGACCTTACCAGTGTTCGGTCAGATTCAGCGAGACTGGCCCTCCAACCACTCTCTAGGCGTCTTTTCCGGCGTTTCATCTCCCTCAGCTCCTCGGTGAACCAAGGAGCCGCGAGGGATCGACACCGGGTCAGAGGCCACAAAGGCACGACTCGATCCAAGGCCCCACCAGCCGCCCGATCCCAGGCAGCTACCAGGTCCTCGGCCGAGTCGTGTGCCAGATCTTCAGGAATTGGCCCAAGCTCCGTCTGGAACCTATCAGGATCCATCAGGCGCCTGGGGCGGATCCATCTAATTGGGTCCGCCTCCCTGCGGCGGGGTGTAGCGGTTCGAAGGTCCAGACGAAGGAGTGAGTGATCTGACCATGACAAGGGTTTCATATCTGTATCCCCTATAATAAGACCACTCAACCACTGGCCAGAGACAAAAATCAGGTCCAGCGTGTGTCCCCCCCTGTGAGTGGGGCCATGAACTAACTGGGTCAGGTCCATGGCCGTCATGGAAGCCATGAACTCCCGAGCCATCTCTGACGTTTCACCAACGGACGGCAGATTGAAATCACCCATGACCATAAGCCTGGGTGTATCAACTGCCACCGTGGCTATCACGTCGAGTAGCTCGGGCAGGGCCGTTGCCACGCGGCAGGGAGCCAGGTACGTAAGCAGCAAACCCATCTGAACCCCATGACCCCATCTCACAAAGAGGGACTCACATCCGGCAATCTGTGGCACAGTGGTCTCCCTCGGACCCAGACCTTCGTTAATAATAACCGCCACCCCCCGCCCCTCCCCTGGGCCCTCGGCTGATGGAATGCTCTGAAGCCTGGTGGACACATCTCAACCAGAGGGACCCCTCCCTCCGGGCCCAACCAGGTCTCCGTAATACCCGCCAGGTCCGCTCCCCCCTCTTGAATAAGATCGTAAATGAGGGGGGCCTTATTTACCACGGACCTGGCGTTGCACAGCATCAGCCGGAGGCCCAGGTCCTGAGTATCTGAGCCACCTAGTATCCGAGGGGAGCCTTGAGGACCGGGGCATGCAATCGCTCTCAAGTAGCGAGTGCGCACCCCCGGCACAAGATAAGGTCCTCTGCTCCCACCATATCTGCCCCTCCCATCCACCGTGCTGATGACATCCCCAATCCCTCATCCTGCGCCCTCCAGACCGTTACCCTGTGCCAGGCTGGGCCCTGACCTAGGTGGATTACCCCCCCCCATCCCCTTTGGTCACCCTCCCAGTTCCCCTTAAAAGATTATTAAAAACCCTAATTAAAAAACCCCTCAATCCCCGCTTTAAAACATGCAACCTTTCATGCAAGGTTCTCAGTCAGCATTCTCTTTAAAATGCTTTACCAATGTGGAAATTGCAGAAATGTATTTCAGGGCCTACTTTCAGCCTCCTGCAGGGGTATTGTGTGTATATGTGTGTGTGTGTGTGTGTGTGTGTGCGCGTGCATGTGCACATGTTCACTGTGTCTTCAAAATTGAAAATTGACATTTGAGTTTCTCAAAGAGCTGTCTAAACTTTCCTTCCTTCTTCAAGAAATGTTTCGCCAGCTCTACTTCTAAATACAGCGTATTTATTTATTGAATTTCCTGTACAGGCCGTCCATCTTATCAACAAGGGGACTTTGGATGCCTTACAAGTGATTAAAAAGGTCAAACAATTAAAGTTAAGAAGAGTTACATAAGAATGAAGACCAAGGGGACAGACAGCATGGAGGTAAGTTATGCCATAAATAAGAGATGCAATGTTGTCATTCCCATCATTACATTATTTGCTGGTGCGGTCACCAGCTGTGCCTGCCCTTACCCGCCCAAGTTCTTTGTCTTCCAAAGCCAGGACACCGGTACTCTCCGTAAACAGCTTCACCTTCACAGCCGGAAGGGCGTGTGTCGTGGAAAAGTCACCCTGAGTTCCCCAGCTGTGAAAACATCCACAAGAAAGACATTAGGGGAAAAAAAAGAAGCAGCAGCAGCAACAGCTTGCCACCTCAGCACTGTCACCTTGGAGGGGAAAAGGTTAACGCAAATGTCACCAACTGTCATATATAGTTTTTTTTTTTAAAAAAAGCAACAGGAGTGCCATTGTGCTAATTAATTAATGTGGCAAAAAAACCTGCAAGACAACAACTCAGCAATGTTGAAAAACTTCCCCTGGAAAGGCAACAGACTAAAACAAAGCCAACAGTAGCAAATGGCATGCTTGCACTTGGGTTTATTTTGCAACTCAGTAAAAAGAAGACTGATGAAAATATTGTATCAAAAGTTTGCTTGTAAGTTGCAGGCCCTCTGCAGTTGGTTACCATGATCAACAAAACTGGAGGAATACAAATACTACCCATTTCCAAAATTGTTTATATTCTGGAGTCAAACTCTAGAATTAGACAAAAAGTAAATCTTTCTATGATTCCATTGATTGAATAGTTTGCTCCATTTCATTAAAGATCCAGAGCTATATTTATATACAACATGGATTATTTGGGTGGTGTAGCTAAGGGACTTTGGGGTCCTTGGTGCTCTCTGAGCTTGTTTGTTTTCTTGCAGATGTTTCATTACCTAACTAGGTAACATCATCAGTGCTAGAAGGGAGTAGGCTTTGTTCTCTTTTTATATATTAATGGCTTGCCCCATTGGTGGGAGTATTTTTGGAGGTTCTTTGGCTGGGCTGTTGTTTATTGTTAGCTTGTTTGTCTGCGATGTTATCCAGTTGGATAATGAGAGCACCAATGACCTGACACTTCAACCCTGAGGTAAAAATATTCTCTGCTATCAGTAGTTAAGAGGGCATGTGGGTAGAAGAAAGGGAGTGATGATAGATATCACAACTGGGAACAAGGGTCTCCAGATCATTGAAATCAGTGTTCATTTACATCAGGGCTGTCAAACTCCTGGCCCATGGGATGGATGCGTCACGTGCTGGCTACGCCCACTTTAGTGAAGGGGAATAAAGTCCCAATATCCTACCTGATGCCACCGTGAATATGTGAGTTTGATACCCCTGATTTACATAAACTGCCTTCTCACTGTTCTGTTTTTGAAAAGAGGTGAACATTAGCTCTAGAAGGAAGGGTGAGGAGGTCATAAATGAAAAATTAACACTATCAATGTTCTAGAGAACATTGAAATCAGCATTTGTTTGTTGGTTTTGATATTTATATTGTATGCTACTTGGAGCCATTTAGGAGTAAAATGGCTAAACAAACCATAAGTACTGCAGATAATCTGCCGAAATGAAATGCTGAACAAACTCACGCAAAACAAGGAGACAAAGATACAAATGAAGAATCTTTGGAAAAGATTCAAAATCTCTAATTGATGATTGAGGGCTCATCACAGGCCTTTTCAGAATCTACCTCCTTAATTATGTCTAGCAGGCTGCAAAATAATTTGCTTTCATTTATGCCACTTTTCCTTAATATTCATAAAATAGAAAATACAGAATATTTAAAGCACAAACAAAAGGAAAAGTGAAAAATAGCAAATCAGCAACTATATTAAACCATCAGCAAGAGAGAAATATAAAAAGGATGAATTAGTTCAAGAAGTAAAATGTCACAGCAGGAGCTTAAAAAGTCATGACGGATTAAAAAAATGAGGTGAAATAAGGATTCTGTCTTCTCCGTAAAACTCAAAAAGGAGAAAACAATGTGGATAGCGACATGGCTGGCTAGTTGATTTCAATATGAGAGAGGCTATTATTGATACTGGGACATAAAACCAGATTATTAAAAAAATAGTACCGTACTATGACACTTCCATGGTTTTTCCGCCCATTATCATTTTCCCAGGAATATTTAATAGCAATAACAATAGCAGTTAGACTTATATACCACTTCACAGTGCTTTACAACACTCTCTAAGTGGTTTACAGAGTCAGCATGTTGCCACCAACAATCTGGGTCTTCATTTTACTGACCTCAGAAGGATAGAAGGAACCAGTTATGATCGAACTGCTCACAATCAGCAGAGTTAGCTTGCAGTGCTGCATTCTAACCACTGCATCATCAGGTTTCTAAACTATTCTAAACTATTTGAGTTGTAAAACGGAAGAGCACATAAAATCCCAATTTAGAACTTTTTTTTTTTGCAAAATAATTGAAATTGAATTTATTAAACCATACCAGACTCTTTTTTTAGGTTTGGCGAGAACACAAGGTACTTTTCTTTATGGCTCTGATAGATTTTCAATAGTCTTCACAGGTCATTTAATTTTGTTTCTCAAAATTTCAAGCTGTGTTACCACTTCTTTCTTTTTTAGTAAATGGCACATTTGTTCTCATGAAGGTGGGCTATTCTCTCCTCTCCCCAACTTAATAAAACACATATAGGGCTTAGGAAATTGTGAGAAAGTAGCCTTTGCATTGCCATTTACAATTAAAAAAAGAACGCTAGATCAAAATGCAAGAAATATTGCCAAGTTCTATGTTATCTGCTGCTATCTCTCGATCCAAAATGTACCACTGAGGCACACCTCTGCATGAGTGGCAGCCCAGTTTCAAGATCCTATGACAATGGATGGACCAACAGAAGCAGACTGAACTGTGCTATAAATGAAAATGGAATTAAAACTTGATAAACAAAAATATTCCCTGTCTAATAGCAATTACTGTAATTACTGTCTAGCAGCAATTACTGTAAGCTGCTATTAATATCTGTTTGATCTGAAATCAAACAGATATTCCATGGAACATCATCTGAACTCTGAGGTAAGATTGATCCAAGAGTTTGCATTTGAGATGTTTATTTGCAACCATAGGTTTTGGCAAAATACCTAGGAGCTGGAAGACTTGCTTCTCTTTCTACCATTTTCATCTTTTAAAGCATTTTTATGTAACTTTTGGGTTCAGATTGTCTTGTCACTCAACTCTTATTTTGGATTAAACCTCTTTGAACTCAGACCTATGAGAAAGACATTTGAGAGCTGGTTGTATAGTTCAAGAAAAGACTTGATTTCCATAACACAATGCTCTTTTAACCCTTTTCTCATTCCCAGAACTAATCCTAGTTCAGTGCATAGACTCTGCGTAGTCCTTTTTTGTGACATGCACAGACACAGGGCATAAGGAACAAGAGCAGTTACATCATTATGGACGCAGGGTTGACTATAGTTCCTGGAGGAAAGAAAAGAAATTACTGTTCTTTCATTCAACTTCAGCCTACCATGAACGCACATCTAACTTGTGTTTTACTGCCTCAAGTTGAAAATAATTGTTTTCTGATCTAAGGTCTCCTGACTTTATTTATTGTTATTTATTTATTGTTATTTGTTTATTTTCGTCAAGCATGTATTTTATGACAGATACAAGTGTAAACATAATTATAAATACATGAAAAGGATACGAATAAAAGAAAACATTAGGACAGGGATGGTAGGCACACTGGTGTACTTATGCACGCCCCTTACAGACTTCTTAGGAATGGGGTGAGGTCAACAGTAGGCAGTCTAAAGTTAAAGTTTTGGGGATCTGGGGAAGAAACCACAGAGTCAGGTAGTACATTCCAGGCGCTGACAACTCTGAAGTTGTATTTTCTGCAGTCTAGTTTGTATCTATTGTGCGCTCTTGTATTGTTTTGTTTGAAGTTGAAGTATCCATTGGCTGGTAGGATTGACCAGAGGATTGGACTAGAAGACCTCCAAGGTCCCTTCCAGCCCTATGATTCTATGAATTTTACTTTGCTCCAGGAAACCCCAGAATGTTTTAGTCAAGAAATGTTCTGCCCCAGCTCCGGATTCCCGAGGATATAGACACACACCAACGATCCTTATCAAATTTATTAAGTAGAATAAGAATAAACCAAAGCCCGGCAAAGGTTGGCAACCAGCCCAGAAAGCAAGATAAGACTTTTCCAAAAATGCTCTGATGATAATTATAAGTTGTTTCTAGCAAGAAATTTACTAACCGCGTGTGACTTAAATAGGCTAAGGGAGTGGCCAATTATCCTCAAGCCTTACTCTTGAGGAGACCTCCTCTTCCTGAGTAGCCACTCCTGCCTTTTGGCAGCCCTGCATGCTCGAGCATTGAGAAGAGGCTCCTCCATTTCACTCTCTCCACTTGAAGGAGCCTCTGGAGGTTCTGAAGGCCCTGGCTGAGTCTCTGCCTCTGGCACCACATCCTCTTCAGCCTCCTCGTTGTCCGATGCGAGCGCTGGCTGGGCAGGCTCCTGGCGTGACACCACACCAGCCTCCTTGTCGTTGGGATCAGCCACGATCCGTGTAGGCTGCTGGCGGGCCACAACAAGAAAGTCCACTGCAGTTTTTCGTGGCAGATATTCTTTAGCAGTTTCGTACTAATAACATGTGTTTAACAGGAAGAACATTCCTAGTCCAAAATTTAGCACAAACCTGCCCCCCCACCCCTTGGTAATTACTGTTTTTCTTTCTTTATTTTTTGTTAGAAATTCATCTTGAGATTGAAACACTTCTATTTCAGTGATTGAAAAAAAGAATGAAATGTTGCATTGGAGGATTAAAAAAAAAAAAGGTAGCAGAGGCACCAGTAAAAGCTAAAGCAGCATAAAGGTGTGGTGTGGTTATGCTGACAGTGTGAGATGTTGAGAATTAGAAGGTAAAAACCACAACACATGTCATTCCTTGGTAACTTCTGAACCTTTCACTCACGTTTTAAAACTTTTAATTATGCCTGTGACCTTAAAACTACATACTTTAAACATAGACAATGATCATTTCTGGAATGTGGGCCTTTCTGGTTACCATAATATCATATTTTGGAAAAGGATGCCCTATTCAAAAAAATAAAGTAAAAAAGTAGTATTTGGGTATGATACAAGCAAATAATATAGAAATAAAGATTGAAAGATATGAAGAGCCATAATGAGTGATATTAGTGTAAAACTAGATTTGACTGTGTTTCATTTTCATTTTTTACATCATATTGTAATTTATTTGACTTACTACTTCTTA